GCCGCCCAAAGATGTTAATGTATAGTGAAACACGTGCTACTATACAACAACACTTTTGGACGACCAAAGATACTATTGTATAGCGAAACACGTGAGTTTATACAATAGTATCTTCGGGCGCCCAAATATGCTATTGTATAACGAAACGCATACCGCTACTCAGTAGCAACTTCGGACACCTAATGTGCTATTGTATAGCATTTTCTGGCGTCCAAATTTGCTAATGTATAGTGAAACATTGGGACACATTGCTATATCATTTTCTGACGCCCAAAGATGTTATTGTATAGCGAAACACGTGCATCTATACAGTAACATCTTCACAGGTCCTGATATGCTATTGTATAGTATTTTCAGCCGCCCAAAGATGTTAATGTATAGTGAAACACGTGCTACTATACAACAACACTTTTGGACGACCAAAGATACTATTGTATAGCGAAACACGTGATCTATACAGTAACATCTTCACAGGTCCTGATATGCTATTGTATAGTATTTGCCGCCCAAAGATGTTAATGTATAGTGAAACACGTGCTACTATACAACAACACTTTTGGACGACCAAAGATACTATTGTATAGCGAAACACGTGAGTTTATACAATAGCATCTTCGGGCGCCCAAATATGTTATTGTATAGTGTAACCTTGGGACAACCAAAGATGCTATTGTTATAGTATTTTCTGACGCCTAAAGATGTTATTGTATGACGAAACACGTGCCTCTATACAGTAGCATCTTCAGAGGATCTGATATGATATTGTATAGTATTTATACATGTTGATGTATACATTATAATGTATAGTATAACACATACTACTATACAATAACACCCTCGGACGACCAAATATGCAATTGTATAGCGAAACACGTGCCTCTATACAATAGCATCTTCGGGGGCCCAAATATGCTATTGCATAGCGAAACACATACTGCCAGACAGTAGCATCTTCGGACACCCATATAGCATTTCCGGGCGCCCAAATATGCTATGTATAGTGAAATACGTGCTGATATATAGTAGCATCTTGGGACATACAAAGGTGCTATTATATAGCATCGCCAGGCGTCCAAAGATGCTATTGTATAGTGAAACACGTGCCTCTATATGCTATTGTATAGCATTTTCGGCCGCCTAAATATAATGTTAATGTATAGTGAAATACGTACCGTTATACAATAGCATCATCGGACGCCCAAATAAGCTATTGTATAGCGAAACACTTGCCTCTATAGAGTAGTGACGCCCTGATATGCTATTGTATAGTATTTTCGGCCGCCCAAAGATGTTAATGTATAGTGAAACACGTACCACTATACAATAGCACCTTTTGGCACCCAAATATGCTATCGTATAGCGAAACACATACCGCCATATAGTAGCATCTTCGGGTACCCAAAGTGTATATCATCTTTTGGAGCCCAAATATGCTACTGTATAGCGAAACACATACCGCCATACAGTAGCATCTTCGGGTACTCAAAGGTTTATTGTATAGCATTTTCGAACGCCCAAATATGCTATTGTATAGTGAAACACGTGCTGCTATACAGTAGCATCTTGGGACATCCAAAGATGCTATTGTTTAGCATTTTCGGACGCTCAAAGAGAAAACGTATAGCAAAACACGTGCCTACATTCAGTAGCATCTTCGGAAACCTTGATATGCTATTGTATAGCATTTCAGGATGCTCAAAGATGTTACTGTATAGTGAAAGACGTGCCGCTATACAATATCATTCTCGGGCGCCCAAATATGCTATTGTATTGCGAAACACATACCGCTATACAAAGTAGTATTGTATAGCATTTTCGGACACCCAAGTATGCTATTGTGTAGTGAAACACGTGCTGCTATACATTAGCATCTTGATACACCTAAATATACTATTGTATAGCATTTTCGGACGCCTAAAGATGCTATCGTATAGCGAAGTGGAAGTTTCACATTGAAGTGTGTTTTTTGAATACGTAATAATAGATTTTTATCTAATATTAGTCAGGGTATGTTAATGTATAATTTTTTTTAACTGAGTTCCTTCATTATTTGGACTGGTTCATCCATGATTTTACCATTACAAAAGCGTTTGCAGGAGCAGTATAAAGGTTTTTAAGATGTGTCACGAAATCTGATTACCAAATATTCTTTTCAAGTTGTATATTTTCAGAAAAAATCAATGATATTTCACTCATTTCAGAAGAACCCGAAAAAAATTTCCAACTAGTTTATTTATGCTAAGCGGTTGAGGTGCCAAATATCAATCAAAAATCATTTCACTCTTATGAATTACAAGTTTTCTAAATGAACAACCGTCACCTGTCAAAGAAGTGTGTAAGTTTTTAAACTAACCATGTTTTGGAATGTGTGCCGAGTATTTGCGAGTGTGTGTGTGAAATATTAATGTAATTTTTGCATTTTTGCATGTTGAATTAGTTGTCAGTGGATATTAATTCGTTGAGAGCACTGCACAAATATATTGCAATTGATGTGGGGGGTGCTTCTGATGTAACGATCATTTCATGGCATTACGTCAAGTTTTTGTCAACTTAATATTCGTCTGGTGTCAACTCGCTGGATAATCCTCATTGATGCAATATAAATTGAGAGAATTCATCTACGTACTTATATGGGGTAATGATATTATGCAAATTCAATGATATTATTATCAAAATATTTTGAGAAGTACTTTGAAATTTCTCAATTTTATCAGTTTTCATAGTTGCTTCTAATCCGGTCAATCTAGACATTGAAAGGTGCATAAATTTACAACAAGCTGCAAACGCGTGTAATTGTTCAAAACATAGTTAAAAATGAGATTTTAAAATTCCGAATGATTGCGATGCCTGGAAAAAAATTTATTCGAGGTCAAAGGTCCGTTTATGT